TCACTCATAGTGAGAGTTCATTGCCGAAGTGAGCAAAGTTGCTCCATTGAAAAGGATCTTGAAATTGAACATCAAGTACATTTGCATGATTTTTGATCGAAATTATCAAATATGTAAGCGCTCGATGGTTCGATGAAAATCCATTGCGGATATTTTTTTACCTTTTTAGATAAACTTCGAACTTTTAATTATTTCGAAATTCAAGTTATATAATTCATGCGGTGCATTTCTTCCGTAAAAAATCGAAATTTCCGAAACGGCAAAATTCAGCTGACGTTAATACTGAGAGAAAATGGACTTAAAGCATTGCAAATAAGTGTTTGAGAATCAAGAATTTCGTATTCACATGCAAGTGTACTGTTATTAGCTTAGACCCGAGATGACAAGATGCCTTAGCATAGAATATGCAGTATGCCCTTGCGGCATGATCATTGGCATCATTATAAGAAATATTAGTTTGAATTTGAATTCTCAGTTCCTTGGATTTGTTCAATAATTTGTTCAATTAGCTCCTTTCTGATTAAATATGAACATATTGGTTCGAAAAAATGCGTTTAAACATGTCCCGCATCGATATGACAATCATTGTTCGATCCCGGGATTATCCCGGGATCAAAAATCGATCCCGATATTGAAAAATCGCCGGGATTTCGCAAACCCTAGTCGTGACTCTACTCTCATTTCGCCGACACGCTCATGTGGCGAAGTGCGTACGCACCGATTACGTAACATTATAAATTGCCTTCGATTGACCAGTGGACGTCGGTGATTTTCCAATCCTAAGGCGTTTTTCTGATAAAATTGCAATTCAGAAGGAATGAATAATGTTTGTTTCAGTGAACATGCTCGTAATTCATCGAGTGTACCGATTTTTTATTCATCGAATTATGAGGATACGCTCTTGATGAGATGCGGTTTGGATAGTGCAACCGTACGACGAGATGCACCGTCATTTTTCGACATGGATTCAACCAGCTTACCTGTCCTATATTCGCCATCGTTTTCTAGCAACATCGAGCCCTCTGTAGATCGAGGAGAACAGTGTTCTGACACTGATCATGATCGCATTTTTGGAAGTGGTAAGAATTTTGAGAATTCAGTTGATAGTTGCTTCAGTCTGGAATCCAGTCAACCTCAAGGTGTGTATTTATCGAGCCATCCTCCTTCAGTGGCCTGCTGCCTCGTTAAGCACTTTAGTCAAATTTTTCAACATGGTTTCAATGTGTATCAACCTGATGCTTGTTGCGAAGAAAATTCAGTTGCTCCTGTTGGTGTCTTGGATTCTTCAGTAAGGCTTCCTGAACAGATTGTCACAAATCTTTCGAGAGCTCATCATATTCGTCAGGTACCAGTAGATTCCCATCAGAACTCTGTTCGTTCGAATTCGGAAACCAACAAAAGCAATCAGTCATCTGGTGGTATGCGTGTACCGTTGTCGTCTACGAAGCCAACGCATTCTTTCGAACGAACTTCTCAGTCAACGAGCTCAATCAAAAGACCCACTCTACGAGAGTTACGAAATTGTTCGAAGCCAGCAGTCACCTCAAAGCGGTATCGTCTGAAGAATATGCGAAAATTATTGAAGTATGACCGATGTATTCGTGCTCAACGAGAACAAATTGCCTTGCTTAAACAACAAAATGGCTTGAGGGAGATAAAGCTGATGAGAATGCAGCACACTCTGAAATGTTCGAAAGAATTTGTTTGCACCAATCACTTGAACGATCTAATAAATACACTTATTGGTACTAGTATTTTTGATGTACTGAATGAATCTTTGTAAAGCTCATCGCAGTTGAGAAATTTGTCATCACGCAATCACCATTCGAGTTTCTTCAGTGTTTTTCCATTAATTCAGCGCAAATATTCACCGAAATTACATCCCACTTCCCATTTTCGCATGACACTTGAGCAGAGTGGTGAATTGAACGTATCAGATCAGCTGATTATGAAGAATGTATCTGAAATGGACTGTGTCAAGGAAGATGCTGATGTGAAGAGTGACTCATGATCAGTCATATCATCTCCAGATACTGACAGTACCAATGATTAGATCGCAGACGAGATGATCGCAGATCGATTAGATCGCAGAATATCCAAAATGTGTGATTTGAATGCAGTCACACGTTACTTGAAGTGAAGCTCGCACGTTGCCATTTTCATACACGAAAGCCTTCGATTGCGATATCTGTCAGTTCATTTTGTGAAATGTTCCTGTGTAATTGAGTTCTGTGATTGGCGGAATTTTTCGATATGTCAGTTGTCCAATTCATGTGATAAAATTTTCTGCTTCCTCTCCTCTAGGCATTTTTTCATCTGTTCTATAGATTAACATCAACATTAACGAATTAGTATCGTGTTTGTTTTGAGTGTGTTGTTATTTGTTGATGGGTTTTCTTGTGCAGTCGAATTTG